ACCTACTATCCTTATTGCTGGAGACTGGTAGAAGTAGTGAATATGGACACATAAACCCAATCTCGGCGTGAATTTATCCTTACATCAAAGTTTATGTCATTCCGTGAGAAAACCCTCATCATTCCCATAAAAACTTTACATTTCATGCTAAATCTGTTGATCAGTGATAACTGTATCACGTTCTCATCATACGCTGTTCCGTAAAAAACGATTTTCATACTGATGTAAAAATAGTTTAGGACTGCTCGTATCCTTAACCTGTTCCTTCAAAGCATTTTACAATGTGAATTACTCGCTACAACTTTTTCTAAATTAGCCACTATATGCTTGGTGACAGTTTGCTGAGCATTGCAACTTTGGACATTAAACATAAATAAGCCAGTCTTCAGCGACAACAATAGTAGTTGCGTGGATCTGTGTCAATCCTACAGCTTTTTTCTAAGTGACGATCCAGCCTCACCCCGACAAGATTCAATGATAAGGCCGACATCACCTGGTCGGGTAATTCGGTTCAATCATTGGCCACTCCATGAGACAAACGGAACTCCACTCTGAATATTTCAGTTCACGGTTTTTGAACATGCATGCTGTGACCTCGTAGATGATTCGTTCTAACGAGAGCAAAAGCGTATGATACAATAACACTCAAACCAGTATTAGAGATACGGAATGCCGAAATACAAGATCATCCCGCGCTCTGCGTTGTGATAAGAGGAAAAGATTAAGGCGTTTTTAGCATTACTCGTTAAACGGTTCGCAGATATCAGTCACTAAGTTTGTTTTTACAAGCTGAACACTCACGTGTATCAGCACTTTTATTCATAAATGTGCTAGCTGCTTGGACACAGTACTCTAGGTGTAGTCCAATACAGGTGGTATGCAAAATTCAGAACTCTTCAGTACATCTGAACGATCAAAAAACTGATCATAACGCTCGGAAACCTTTGGGGGTTGCAACGTGCAGTTGTTTTTAAGTTATAGCTTACCGTTGCCCATAATTCGGTGTTTCCTGCGCACGTGGAAGCGATGTACCATTGGCAAATTATTTGGAATCCAGTCTCACTACTGCACTTCATTTTGGGTTTTTACAGATGATTCAATTCTTCTCATTTTACGGACTTCCTAAACAATCCAATGCACTTACCAACCTAAGTAAACAGAGGTTAGTAAACGGAATCACGAAACAACCCATTAGTAGAGCAATGTCATGTTTAGTTTTAGTCACACATGCAGTTGACATTTACATCTCATCAACATTTAGCAAGTATCCGGAATTTCGAAAACCAAAGTACAAACCGTTGAGAGAAAACAGCAATGTTAGATGTGACAAATTTAAACTTATTTATGTTTTCGAAGACAACGTGACTTTTCCCCGGAAAACAAGGAATTCCAAGAGACAACATGTTTTCTTTAAGCAGCCCATGGAAAGCCTCGTTGCATATGACCCATGAAACAGATGGTAGCTGCTAACTCAGGGGTTATTATATTCAACGCAAAAGATTGATAGTTTCGGACTGTTACATAATACTTTAAGCCCGTGTCTTGTTGACTTACTTGAGGCGCACAGATGTATTTTTAAGATCAACATTTGAATGAATTACAACCAAATCCTCATCTCACGTAGATAATCTTCAAATCAGATGTCATAACTCAGTTTATTTTTTTGAATATTCTCTCATGTTATCCAAACGTCGGAACGGCTTACCAACGAGGTCATCACTCTGAAGACGCTCATAATAAGAATTGTTAGTTTGTAAGCTTGGATAAATAAGCATTTTACAAATAGCTGAAAGAAGGGTTCAGAAACATTATGTCGGTGAAGTTGTACAGTCTTCCACCAAAAAGCCTCTGATGTGTTGAAGCGATTCCATTGATAAATACTGATCTTGGTAAAGGCATGAACACATCGTGGTCCATAGACAAGCCGTAGTTCACCTTTTCAGGGATTCGAGTTGCAATAGAACCGAATAAGAAACTATTGTTGCTGAAGTCATTCATAGTGCAACTTTCCTACTTTCATGAGATTTATCGCCCCCCTATTTTCCTCACTTGATATTAAGAAAACCTTCGACGTATGCCGGCTCATAAGCATCACGGTTTTACTCAAGTCTATGTTCGTCCAATCCCATTTAACCAAAATCTTTGTACAAGTCAACCAACTGTGTATTACACACATTTATGTAGGAAGTAATTTATTAAAACACAATTTTATGAGCGAAGAATATTCTTTTCGATAATTTCTCATTAGGTTCTCATCAGATTGAAAAGAATATTCTGCGTTCACAAAATTATGTTTTAATATAATTGGAATTTTTCAGCGAGTAATTTATTAACCTAAACCTTTTGGTGCAACTTACAATGGATCTCGAAAGGTTTAAAGGCATGAATTTGAGTAGCATGTCATTGATTTAATCGGAAAATGTCTCAAGCGAACCCACTTTGACGTATGCATATATTTCGCGTAAAAAGAAAGACGATACATATACATAAGCAAACTGAAAATTTCGTCGCTAATCAATGCTAAATATTTTTGCTCTGATATTTTTGTAAATTTGGTAGGGCTTGTGGAAGTATTTTTCTTTATAATGTACTTCAGTTACTTATTTCAGACCTACTTTAAAAATGACACAAAGATTAACGACCACCGTTGTACGTTTATTAATTATCAAGCGACCCCAATGTACAAATACAGATACCCGTACACTTCTACCAATCTCAGGCTAACCGAATACTATCAATCAGTGCCAAACCTCCCACGTTTAAACATCTCAGAGAAGTTCAGGGATCTACATGATATCCTTAAAGTGCCGTGACTCGTAGACGTAAAGAACTTCAAAATAATGGCCAAGTAAAAATTCAACGCTGATGCTGACTTGTCTGTTTTGTGATGGCTAATAGCTGAAGGTACTCAGTCCATGCCTGATCAAAGCACAACTTAGTGTGAGATGTTCTTTCTGCAACATGTACTCAGTCCTTCTATTTATTGTTCCACTTCACTACAGATTCAAAGGGAATTTTCCTCAAAAATATCACCTTCGTAAATCGTTTCCGCTGCAGTCGTCTTCGAGTAGATTCAAATTAGTACGGACTGGTTGTGTCACATTCAGCGTATCCTCATAATTTACCCCGCAAGTGTACATTCTTGAAACTCACTGATATCTAGGCAGTCTCAATCACTTATTTGTACTCTCTCAAGCTACCTCTGTGTATTTTCTTTCAGATTCTAAATGGCGACTCATACAGTTGTATCGAAGCCACTTTTGTGTTATTTTGCTCACAACCCCTAGTAACATGTTTGGTCTTTTGGTAATGGACACAAAAGCTCGTTGTTCGAAAGCTTATGTGAATAACTTAAATCATGTGAGATTTCTAAAAGAAGAATACTGATGCTAACTGCAATTTTGTAGTCAGTTTTTGTCGTAATCTGATGCAACATCAGTCAGTCTGCTCGATTCATCCTATGAAAAATTAGTATTACTTCATTCAGTATTATATGCTTGAGCGAGAGCGTTTCAACGTGTTTTATGTCCAGAAAAGCTAGTAAGGACTGATGGGACTATTTATTTCGGGGTTTCATTTACTGCTACAAATGAAATTAATTTCACTTGTAAAAATGGATGCTTAGGATCTGATAAGCCATATGCTGTAATTCATAACATATCGTCAGTTATTTCTAACTTGAGTGCAAATATTATGCAGCTTATGTCGACGTTTTATGGACATGAACATCCATAGAAATTTGACATCGGAGTATCAAGTTTGTAATCCCCTTTGTCATCTGAAGAGGAACTTATAACGTCGGATTCATGTCTTCAGCAAGAAGACGTAAGTTGCTAATTTGCAAGTCAACAAATAAACTGGATTATTTGTTCTTATTCTAGATGGTCATGTTGAGGCGGTTATTGGAAGATAGTCCTAATACGTACATGAGCTATATGTTGTCACACGTTGTGGCATCTGAAGTTTCCAGCGATCTCATAATACGTGGCTATTCAGAAGTGCAGGCTTTACGGCTCCATATGAAGTAAGAACCGTTCTTGCCAACCTTTACGTGCGTTGACTTTGTAGTGGCATTGAACAATAACCACACAATCCACAAAGCTGAACACGAGACTACTCAGAAAATAGATATTCAATATTTAACGTGGGGAAATACCTAATGATAGAGAAGGCGCGAACAAGGAATTGGATGAATTGGGGTTGATCGGATGGTGTGGCTCAGCCATGCAGGCGTGGTCCCTCTGAATGTTACCTTATATCTTCTATTCATGTTAAATATATTGTTCCTTCTCTAGCCTAACCTTGTTCTACATCATGTATTGGTAATTGGTACGATACAGTGAGTTGGTGTAGTCGATGGTGTGACTTCCACGTAAGATCTCATAGATTAGGCAGTTATATCACGACAAATCTACAATTTTGGGATTAGGTCTATTATTAGAGCAGTACTAATATCATAATAGACCATAGTTCTACAGCTCGATTCGTATCTTAATTCGTCAAGGAAAAACAACTTGCTTTGGTTCATGATGCAAAGGTAGTTTCAGGACATGAGAGGCAAAATACAAAGACGTTATCGGAGAAAACAAGAACATGTATGCACTAGTTTAAATTCACAACCGTCGATATCTGTTTTATTTGCGCATTGTTTAGCAATAACGAATAAAACTGTAAGTTACACTTCACGTAGGAGAAAACTAGACGATTCGGTAACACTCATAACAGAAAAAAAGAAAATTGAGCATTATTTTCGCATGACGGGCGGAAAAACAGACATTTGAGCGCATTTTATCATTGTTTTTTGTTTATTTTCTGACGTAATGTTCCCTTTATTTCTCTCTTGTTTTCCTTTATTTCCCCTTCATTGGTTGCTTGGCTTTCTATAGGAAAGAAACAGTTTTCGTAACATTGTATGCTGCTAAATAGCATTTTATATTCAGCTGTTCTTTTCTCAGAGAATAACAATGGAAAACCGCCCTTTATTTTATTTAGCTTAAAAATAGGAGCATTGCATATTGAACAATAGGGTGAATATATATGTATTGCTTACCTTGGGTTCTGACTCACGTTTGAATTTCCGCTGTAATGACTACGTTTGCAACGCGTTTGTGTGGTTATTCTGTAGTTGGTGATACTTACAAGACCGCACTAGATGTTTACAACTGGGTCAAGAAAAAAGAGTCTGTAGGCCCAATTATACAAACAGCTGAAGATAAAGCTATTTCTGTGATCAAACCAATTGTTGAAAGCGGTAAGGTTGTATTTATAGTAGATTACATATAAAAGCAGACCGGTTCATACTTTGCCTTAAATCTCTAACTATATAACATGTAATCGACGTTTCAGAATTAAAAATTATTTGTCAGTCGATGATAATATACGCGTTGCGTTTTGCCTACCTCCTGCCCTGAATAGTGTTTTCTGAAAAGAGGTTTTTTAGGGTATACTTCTGGTGTAAGGTATGAATCTTGGTACTACCTGAAGTAATGATGTCTGTAATGATCTCGGTCAGTGTTTAGTTGTGACAGTTAGGTTTATGAATTGTCAATTATCTTAATCAATTTCTTTTTTTATATACTAGCCTTATAAATTAGATCAATGAAAGTTTTAGGGCTAGAAGTTCTCACCATTGTAAGAATTTCTAGGTAACTAATAGACCATGTAGAACAGTTTATAACTAAGGTGTAAAGTACACTAGTTTTATAAAGCACAAAATTCACTATATGAGGATTCAGTCAACTGGAAACATATCATATGTATTTACTTAAGTTAGACAAATTTGGGCCAGTTGGTGCTGCTTCGTGGTATTTGCTTAAGAGGATCGTTATTAAAGCTGGATGTGATGGGTTTGTTTAGGGAGAACTTTTGTGTGTAATTCTTTGCTCTACAGTGGTCATTTCTCTTCTTTATCGTAAAATGCACGTATGTTACACTTATTTGTGAGTAATAGCAAAATGTTTTAACACCGGATGGTTGGGGCTTACCACTTAATTTGATTTCTGAGTATATCTGTACGTTCCGATTAGAAAAACTCGAAATGTCAATTATATTTGAGGTTATTCAGAGTGTATTGGGTATCCTTGAAAATGTGGTATCTTCGCATAGATAGTTTGAGCGAAAACGTCTTTGTGTTTTACAGGAATTGTCCAAAAGATCGATGATATGGCTTGTCAACATGTTCTGGATCGTGCTGAAGCAGCGTGCGCACAGATTAAGAACACTTCAAATGAATGTATAATTCTACCCACTGCAAGCCGTGCCCTGAATATTGCTGAGGCTTGTGCTAATCTGTATCTTCCGAAAGATGATGTAAGTATTTGCATTTTGAAACAAAAGTTGAGCTATCTTGAAACATTTTGTATTATTTTAAAGATTACTTATTTAAATTACTACTGTCAGTTTTTTTGTCTCATAGGATCCAAAGTTCTCTATAGGAGGTGATGCTACACCAACAGAACGACTCGTGCGTCTACAACATAGAGCATCAATACATGCTGTTACATTAATTCATTCAACAGTTGATCGTGCTAATTCACTTCTGTCTACGCTTGCGACTTACGGAAGTAACCTAAATCAAACAGTTTCAAAGGCTACCATTAGAAATACTCTTTCACAAGCTATTGCTTTGTATGAATTAGCTTACTCTACTGCTAAGGCTGTAAGCCTTCCTATAGTTGCACGTTGTATTACTGTTATTCTCGAGAATGTTCGGAAACTTGAGGATCAAATTAAAGAGGTTAGTTTTTTGGCAAATATTTCCCGTTTCATTCCCATGCTTTAATATCTTTAAAATGCGACTTTTAGCCCCAAAGGTAATCTGATTACTGGTATGATAAAAATATGAGTTACTTAAGATTAAAAGTAGTACAAAAAACTAGTTATGTACTAATGCTTCTTAAAAAAATAATTAAAATACAATGTTATTTGGCGAACATTATTCTAGTGTATTTCACTAAATTGGATTGAACTAAATGATCTCATTTTATTTGGATTTCACTTAGCTTACTGGTAACGTCCGTATTCTTAGTATTATGTTAGTGTATAAGTCCAGACAGTATGATCAAGTTTATGAGGGCTTCAAGTATAGCTTACTGAGTACTAGCACCCAGATAGATAAGGCTTTTATGTTGATTAATTGTACACGTTAGTGACAATGAACACTAGCTAATTATGTTGATTAATGGTCATATTAAGTTCCTTGAGCTTAAAAAATTAAAGCTATTTGGTGATGAATTGATATTCATCCGCGAAACCAACTATAAAATGTTGATCGACTTAAACCAAGCCACGACTATTCTACTTAGAACACATATTTCCACTGAATGTTTGTTTGATTGCTTCTGTCAATTACCAGTAGGATTCTGTTAACAGCTTTATAATGATTTATGTTTCTAGAGTACGAGTGGGATTTGATAGGATAGTTTTCTGAGCAAAGCGAATGAATGACATCAAGATTAGCATAAAATAATTCTTCTAGGGTTTTAGTATGAAAATAATTTCCTGAAGTATTAGTATAGTGTTATTCTAATTTCCTATCCTTATATGCAATCTTTTTTTTTATATATTACCATCCCTGAATTAACTACTTTTATGAATCCGGTGTTCATCTTGTTGTGTTAATGAGGTATGGCAACTTGGACTGATGCATATGCCCCCCTGAATGCCCTGGTACGGCCGAGAGTGGGGAGAGTCCGCTCTCCCTCTCGAAATACTCTCACACGGCTCTTCCAGCTCATCCGAGCCACTGACAGCAAGAAGTCTGGTGTGAGTGAAACAATCTGCGAGGATGATGGGATGCCAATCACTAACATCCATCGACGTCCTGGACGGTGGGCAGAATTTTTCGAAGGGCAGTTCAACTGGCCTGCTGCTCCGGCAACATCGGTCAGACTTTACCGTCCTCCATGGCCGGTGACGACTGATCCACCAAATGAGGAGGAAGTCCGCAAGGAACTCCAACTCTTGAAGCGTTACAAATCAACAGGCCCAGATGACTTACCTCCGTCTCTTTTTAAAGATGGTGGTGACTTTTTGACTAAGGAATTGACGACGTTGTTTACAAAGGTTTGGGAACTAGAGAGTGTACCAACGTCATGGAATGAGTCGATAGTTGTCCCTATCTTTAAAAAGGGTTCACGTCGTTCCTGTAACAACTATCCGGGGATAAGTTTACTTCCGATTGCGTCCAAGCTATTGGCTTCCGTCATTCTTCGTAGGTTGTTCAAAACCCGAGAAAGATTGACTCGCGAGCAGCAGACTGGGTTTCGTTCTGGTCGAGGATGTATTGATCATATCTTCACCCTCCGCCAAATGTTAGAACACCGCCATACTTTTCAAAGGCCAACAATCGTAGTGTTTCTTGACATCAGGGCTGCCTTCGATTCGTTGGATAGGACTGTTCTCTGGGATTGTCTATTGAAGAAGGGTGTGCCTGAGAAGTTTATTAACATCCTGAAAGCCCTATATAAAAACACCTCAGGCAGAGTGAGGGCATACAACCACCTCTCTCCATTGTTCCATTCGAGCAGTGGGGTTAGGCAGGGTTGCCCAATCTCACCATTCCTCTTCAACTTTGCCATCGATGACATTCTGGAAACAGCTCTGATGAATGTAAGTAATGGTGGTGTGGATCTGTTGCCTGGAGAAAGACTTCTCGACCTTGAGTATGCGGACGATATTGTCTTACTGTGCGATAATGCCCAAGGCATGCAATCCGCACTTAATCAGTTGGTAATCAGTGTCCGTAGGTATGGTATGTGCTTCGCACCTTCGAAGTGCAAAGTACTTCTACAAGACTGGCAGGATTCTAATCCTGTACTCACCCTGGATGGTGAGCAGATAGATGTAGTTGAGAAGTTCGTGTATCTGGGTAGCTGCATAAGTGCTGGTGGGGGTGTGGGTGATGAGATCAATGCACGAATAGTGAAAGCCAGAGCGGCTTATGCCAATCTGGGCCACCTTTGGCGCCTTCGTGATGTTAGTCTGGCTGTAAAAGGCCGGATCTACAACGCGTCGGTGAGAGCAGTTTTGCTCTATGCTTGTGAAACCTGGCCTTTCCGAGTTGAGGACGTTAGACGACTCTCTGTGTTCGATCATCGCTGTCTCCGAAGGATTGCTGACATTCAGTGGCAACACCATGTCAGTAATGCAGAGGTTCGGCATCGTGTGTTCGGGCACAGAGATGATAATTCAATTGGTGTCACCATCTTGAAACACCGACTTCGGTGGCTTGGACATGTTCTCCGAATGTCGTCCCAGAAAATTCCACGTCGTGCATTATTTGCCGACTCTGGGACTGGTTGGAAGAAGCGGAGAGGTGGTCAGTGCATGACATGGTGTCGTGGCATGAAAGAAAGCTGCAAAGGACTGGCTTGTGTTGGTCCTTCACGACTCCCTGGCTGGGGTCCGAGAGATGGTGCTACACAGTGGCTAGAGACGTTATCAGATATCGCTCAGAATAGAAGCCAGTGGCGATCCTGCTGTAACCTTCTTTTACTTTCTTCATAAAAAGTGGTTGTGTCTCCTTTACCTGAAAGATTTCTTCTGATTGTACCTTTTCGTTCCGTCGTTACTACCACACTACCTTACTCCAATCTCTTCGTCATTGTTCTCTTTTTCTTTTGCGCTCCTTAGTTTTTTTTTCTACTTCTCTTCGAATTCTCATTGTTTTGTGTGGCGCATATATATTGGCGCTCTCTTGTACCAATATTTATGTGTTCAAATAAATAAATAAATAAACTGATGCATATATGTGCCTGGTCCTACGTTGTAGCTGACTGACTGATCCTAATTTCCTCTAGTACACTACAGCTTCACTAGACTTCCTCAGTTAAAATTTTTAGGTCCATGCAATTTCCCTAATAATTTTGAAAAAAAAATTAATTAGGTGAAATAAAATAACCCTATTAACGGCTAGTTATCGGTTAGGAACAACATAGAATTACAGAATTTATCTGATAATTGGTACAAAAGTAACGTATTGTGTCAAAAAAACAAGCTCAGGAGTCAGTCACCTCGAAAGGACAAGAATTCTGACTTGATTAAGCTACAATTTCCAATATTTCTGATTAACACTGTGGGCAACAACTATGCTCAGAGTAAATGGGAAGAGTTTGTGCTTTACCAACGCTTGTTAGTTAACAAAATTTATTTCTCAGGGAAAAGAAAATGTATCTTGACTATGAACGATTATATCATAGTAATTGATGGTTGGTCGAAATCTATAGATTTCAAGAATGAACATAAGTCGCGTTAAGTTCTTTTAGTTTAATTCATTATCAGCAGAGAAAACATTTTTGTTTTTGTGTGTGTGATCTGAACTGATTAAGTTTAGAAAGAAAGTTTTAACCGGTTCACTTTTCCCTCTTGGTTGGATATTAAACTGGGTTTTGTCTTTACTTTGTTCTTTAGTCAAAAGGAATAAACTGGATGGATTTGAAAAGACTAGTGACGCTCCTTGAACACATGAAAGAACGTTTAGATGTACAAGAACCAGTTACAGAAATCGAACTTGAACCGATCACTGAGAAGCCAACATTTTCTCTCGTAAGTGGAGATGTTTATAAACTCACATTCTAGGACCTGTTTATACCTTCACTAAAGCGCATAAGTAAAACGGAAGGGTTGTGAATTTGTCAGTGCGATGAAGCTCTAGCTTGGTTATGTGTATTCGAATCTAAATTATTAGGTCATGTAATCAATTTACATTGAATCTATTGAATCCTTATTGGCTATGCGTTGTTATCCATCTCAAATTTATGGTTCACATTTTTGTACTTATGTCCGTACGGCTATTTCGAGTTGAATAACTATGATAAAAGAATATTTAAAACTCAGTTTATGTGTGAAATTATCCCGGTCAAGTGATGAAAACAGACATCATTTGTGGACTCCACTTATCATCAACTCGGATGGAAATTCTTATGAAATCCTTGCCGGACTACTTTATTTTACATAAAATTTCTAGTAACGTATGTTCTCCCCGTACGAGTAAAGAACTTGCTGGTGTTAGCATCACTGCCTGTTTATCAGAACCTGGTGGAGAATAAAAATACTGATCCACCCTCATCCAGACGTATAATCGTATTAATCTCCCTAAGTTTTCTACTATCGAGATTCAGTTAGACGTCAATTTTACTCTATAGCGATACTTTGAGAACATATCTCAACTAAAAATTTCTGAATATACTTATGTATAATTAATATACTCAATTTAGAACGGATAGGTTCAAATTGTTGGGAAGCATAGTATAGTAAAAGAGGAAATCTATGCTTCTAGAAATTTTAGTTATTAAGACGAAGACTCACAAACACACTGGATGTAGACATCAAAAGAATAAAAATTTTGATAGAGTTTTGTTCCCTGAGTTGGATGGTTTAGTCATAAAGATTTCATCGTTATTCTGAACGACATCATAAGCATAAACTTCAGGTAGAAGTGAAGTGTCCGAATTCCTTCACATATGGCTCACAGCTTGTCCTGCAGACCTTGATCTTGATTGGTTATTGTTGACCCTTAACCTGTCATTGTTTACCGTCTGAAGAAAATCAATAACAACTGGAAAGAATTGCCTAGCACAGGGTTGGTTAAATAATCCTGATCGGCAGCCTATGCTCTATTTCACAAGGTAATATGTATAAGTCCACTGTCCGTTCCTGAAGAAATTTGAATTTAACTCGGGAAGTTGGAGTCATGTGATTTCGATGACTAAGGTTTCTTCAAATATAACTTTGTGGTAGATGATAGGTGGGATAAAATCTGTGTACTGCAATGCACTCGTTAGTCAGTGACAAAATATTAAAATTCTCTGAATATTAAACCGAAAAATGATTCTCTCTAATTACTATTATCTCTGTCATTTTAAAATAAATGTATGACTCATTTGTTTTATTTTAATTTCATTACACTTAGAGTTCTTATTTTCCAAGTAATTTGATCGTATTAATGAATATTTTAAGGTTTCAGTACATTTATTCATAATTGTTTTCCGCTTCGTTTGGCACACATGTTTTTGTCTCCTTACATATTTATTTTCAATCCGGAGTTTTTGTCATTTCATTGTGGTGTATGTTTGTTGCAATATAGAGTTGTAGTTCAACCATGTTAAGTAAAAAAATTCACCCTTACATTTTAAATGATGTACTTTGCCTTAAACCTGGACACGTTTTTGGACTATTAATTTGGATATGAAGTTGTAAAACCATAAGATAATTTATTGAAAATATATTTTCCATTCATATTTCTGTGCTTTAGTGTAAATATCTAAAAATATGCTCTTTTATATGATAATAAATCATACCTACTTTTGTCAGTCTCGTTGATGTGAAATCCCAATTTGCACTTTATTAATAATTTTTATGCATTTTGAGATTGATACTCCTCCTGCTGCTTTTCTCCCTTTTATATTGCTTTCTCCCCAGAAATTAGTTTAGAATTTTTTTGATTGATCTCAATCTGAAGAAGGTCGTCTTTCAATATGTAGCTTATCGACAAATATTTATTGGTATTTGCAGTCAGGTGGTTATGAAGTACAAAAAGTATTTTACAGGATTCTAACAATATTTTTAGTTCTCCAATAAATGGCTCTTATTAGGCAGCTAGTATTTATTTAGATACTAGGAGTTGATATCCTAAAAAGAGCATTCTATCAAATTTAGTAAGATTAAAATATAAAAATTATATTGGGAATCATAAGTAGTGCAACTACTAACTGGAATCAATCTTATATAGATATCAGATTAGGTATTATTTCACTGTGTTAACTGGAGGTAATTTGTATCATACGGTATGGTTGCTTAATAGCTCTGCGGTTCTCCTCAGTTTTAAACCTTTGATTTTTACACTTAATAATTTTAATACCTTATTTTTGGTTTCCCAAAGTATTCATTTGTGTTCTGACAAGACTTACATTTACTTTTCTAATGTTGCGAAAGTTTTCTTTGTTTTGGAATACGGTTGTTAATTTTTATCTTTGTGCGAAAATGTTCATTTTGTATACTCTCACTATTTTCCGATAATCAAAGTTTAGTCACTTCTGTGTTTATAATTGTTGGTCATGTTCTATCAATCCTGGTTTTCATCACTGACTGATCAGCTGAACAGTAATAGGAAACCAGAAAGTATTCAATTATTTTGTCGCAGTCTGAGGCTCTCTTCAACAGTTTAGATCATTTACAGTCCCATTAGTGATTGAACCCAGGGCTTGTATGTCTCACAATCAGTACTTTATCGTCCGATCACTTAGGTGAAATACAACGTGCTAAATTTACCACATTAGTCAATTGACAATATATCGATAATAAGGTGAATACTGTTCCATATGTTTAGACTTCAGTCACATTATCCAGTTTAAACGTTTAATGTAGTCTATAACTTCGTTAATACATCTGTATCTTGCATGATTATTAATTCACTGGATCAATTCATCTATATTAACCCGTCTTATACACACAAGTTACCTCTTTACATATTTGTAATATCTTTGGATATTTTTGAAATTTTTACTTTTTAGATTTCTGGTGATAATGATGAATCCGATACAAATGTGAACGATTCATAAATAAATAATTTTTTTATCATTATTATTACTATTTTCAATATTACAATAGAATAGATTTGCTTTCATGAACTCTGTTGATAATAATTTGTGTTTTTTCCTCTGCATAATTTTGATTGATATTATTATTCGCATCTATTGATTTGACTTCTTTTATAATAAAAATATAAGTTTATTGTTAAAATAGTCAATGCTTTTAACAGTGCCTTTGCCATTTTGTAGTGTTTAGTTGTCTCTTAGTTCAGATTGTTGCGTAGATTACATATTTAGTTGCTATAGAAAGTATATTTGGAAGGGTCCTATTTCAAATAGACTTCTGACTGTTGTATGAATTCCCCAAAAATATCTATGTAAAACGTTTACAAAATTCATGCTTTTTTGAAAGCTGGAGCCCACGTCATCCATTACTGCATTTCAAAGATGTTTCTTGAACAGGATTATTCACAGAAAATCTCTCTGAAAGTGCTGTGGTCTTCAGCATTGAATCTTATGTAGGACAGAGCCATAGGTCATTTGCAATCCAAAAATCTTGTTCAGTGCTAATCGAGGATATTGTACTGCATATTGACCTTTGATGTTCCTTCGCCAGTGGTAATCATTTCAATGCTATTAATTACGTTGAACTAGAATTATAGAGTTTTGTTGGATTTTCGTCGAATTGTTTATCAATGTAAGTTCTAACTGACTGATGAAATCGAACTCTAATAACTCATGTGATTAGTTTATATTGATTAATCAGGGTTCTAAAATGGAGAGTATTGCCGCTACCTTTTAATTACTGAAATGTTCACTCAAGTAAGACCAATGTTATAAAGGAATTCCTTGTTTTAAGAAAATTTTAGGATGTTTAAAAAACGATACTAGGAATCATTAGTGAAAAGACTAGTTGGTCAATGGTATGCAAACGTAATAGACAATGAGCATTTCAAGATTTCTTACTAAGTCTCTAAAAAAACTAGAATTTTAAGTTTTATGACTTGGTGTAATCATTCCTGAATATTACCAACACTTTGTAGGCTTAGTGGTTTCTAATTTAGTCATCATTAGCAGTATCTTAGTGTTTAAAAAATAATTCGTTTCGTTACTTCTCTGTTCAATACACTTCTAATACACATTAAGTTTAGTGTCTGTATTAATCCAAAGCACTTGGTTGAAAATCTTTAATAGTTAGAGGACTGTTATAATGCTGAGAAAATACTTCGTGGAGGTTTGACCGGATGAACACTACTAACACGACTCGAGAAATATTCATGTAAAAGAGTACGAAATCATAGGAAACAATCTTATCCTCTTGGACTACATAATTTGGTGTGCTTGACAGTTGAGTTCCCAATGCGTAACCGCAACTTCCCGGCTCACCTATATTATGATTTATATTGTCGTGCGACAGATCCTTCTGAAGCCATCAAGTAAACTTTTGCTAACTATGGAACAATTTTCGACACTGGTAAAAGGATACTTGTATGGTAATTTTGTAATGTTGACTTAGCAAGTCCACTGGTTTGGCGATATATATTTACCTTTTTTTATCTGAGGTTAGTTTCATCTTGAAACAAATCTCAAGAAAAAACCAACGATTGACATTTAATTACATTGCTTTATATTACACAGGGCTCATCGAAGATTAACTAACCTAGAAGCATATAATGCATTACAAAATACAGCTGAGTACATCGCCAAAATGATAATGCTAAACGTTTTTACAGAATAAGATTAAATTCTGTAGTTATAGAGGTGGGTATATAATTCGCTTTTGTATTATATTGCAGAGGCCTTTTAATGTTGAATGAATAGTGTTAGTTATTGATCTACTGACATAAGTTAGGTGGATGGATCTCAGTGACAATAGTTTGTTGCCACTTACATCATGCTGGGCTAAGAAATTACTCATAAAGTGCTAATTTTACCATTTTCCTCTTTTGTTTATAGTAATTAAGATTCAGACAGAATTTATCAAATATAGCGACAGTTGTTAGCGAATGTATCATTAAAAATATGGTAACTAATTACTTCTATCCAGTCCTCAGAAGAGAAAGTACTAATCTTTTTGAACTATAGATAAACTTACATGTTTATCTAGATGACAGTCATTTCTTTACCTAACTTACCTATTATCTTGTCTGTAAGCTAATGTCTTTGTAATGTTTTCGAGTCGACACAAGAAAGCTACTTGAAAGCCTATCAACGAAATTATGTAAATTATGTTCAGAATACTATGGACGGGTAACTGAGGTATTTTATGGTAAGTATTGGTTAATTGTTCTGTTTAACACGACTTCAGTAAACAAACTAAGATGTTTAAGATACTAGAGTGAGATTATGCATGCAATCCAGGCTACTCAGCTTTGAATGTCAAGGTTTTCCTCTACTAAATAAAGACATATTCTTAGTTAAAAGCGCAGATTTTTAAATTTGAAGTTTAGAGAAAAGAAGGAAGAGGACATTTATTGATCAGTTCGTGTTTTAAGTTCATTACCACACACTGGGGCGAAATTGTGTAATAACAATCTATAGATCACAGGGTGTTTTTTTAAAATTCATTTGGGTCTTCAACTATGGTCTTTAAGATCGTCAAATATCTTGCATATAAATAGGCTGTTTAACAAAATCGGGAAAATACTGAGTAGTTCTGTTTTTAAGTATCTATCCGTTGATCTGGATGTCTTGAGTATCTTAATTTTAGCTCCTTTGAGTAGCATTTTCCGAAATACATGAGGTATTACTGCATAGCAATCAGTTAATATCTCAGTCAGTCAGCGACAATGTAGAACTTCGTACGTACGTACATCAGTTTAAGTTTCCATACCACATTAGCACAGAGATACAATTGTCCATCCAAATCCCATAGTGTTAGAGGTAGTAAAAGTATAAGCAGTAATAGGAAAGAATAGGGCTTGAAAATTATATTCAAGGAGTATAATTCACCGAAATAAATCTGGAAAGAGAAAAAAGGGACATAAAGAATTCAGGCGATCACAAAAGTGGATGCACCTGCACCATTACAAACGATTTTGAGTCATATCATTCAAGGTCTTTAACTATCGTTTGCTAATGTCTCACGGATCCCAATCAGATAGTTTACACTTACTAGCATGGCTCAGTCCACATGTCAGTAACTTCATGGATTTGTGCCATGTTTTGGTCTGGACGTCCCTAACTTCCTTCCAACATACTCCTACACCCTAAAACATCATTCGCTAATATCTGATGTTATTTAATGATGACAAAATTGTCTGTGATGCACATGTCGAACAGAACTTCTAGTTAACCATTATCAATAAATATAATTATTCTATACTATTCATAATATTCCTACTAACATTTTCATAACTTATTCACAATTAAATGATACATTAATTTCATCATCATGATCAGTTGAAGTTTTAAGATAAAACAAAATAAATACAGTTTTTTCTAAAAAAAAATGCATAACAATTATTCATATATTTAGCTTTGAAAATAAAATAATCATATTTTGTTTTGATGAATTTTTATCTTATTACACCATACATACACGTAGACTTAGTTCAGATTCGATAGGTGAAACATTTGGACTTGGTACGATCATCATTATTATTATTATTGTTATTACTATTACTACTATTACTACTACTACTACTACTATTATTATTATTATTATTATTATTATTATTATTATTATTATTATTATTATTAATATTATTATTATTATATCAATTGAGGTAATATTAAGTTTTGAATCCTGTCACATGTTAATTATCTTATGAATAAAGTATAAATTATTGTGTTTATTATTCATGAATTAAAAAATTTTTTTTGAATATGATGGTTAAAGGTCATCTTTGTCTTTGTTTACTTCAAAGTGTATATCATAGTAATAAATGTGGTTGTTATCCCCAATAATTTATTATTAATTATTCAACAACAAAAAAACACTTTAAATTTCATGATTTAGTTACCTAGTCAATTAGTTTTTTTTTAATTAATAGGGAAAAATGGTATGTCAGTCATCTACAACGTAGGATCAGGCACATATATGCATCGGTTCAAGTTGCCTTACCACATTAACATAACAAGATGAACACAGGATTCATAGAAGCAGTTAATTCAGTGGTGGTAATATATAAAAGAAAGATTGTTTATAAGGACATAAAACAGGATGAATTAATTCATAGAAAGAAAGATATGAAGTGATTTTAATTTCATAGTTTAAGGGAAGACAAAGGATGCATGCACCGAGATCATTGTGATCGATTCTGAGCCATGTCACCAAGAGTCTGCAACCATTGGTTATGATAGTCACGCGGGCCGCAATCAAATAGTTTGTATCTACCAACATGACTCAGACCAAATCTTAGTGACTTCAAGCACTGATGCCACGTTTTGGTTTGGCCGCCCCTAACTTTCTTCTAACCATCCCCTACACTATTCATCATTGTGCGTCGTGGTAATCGGTGTTCAGGCATACGCAACATGCGGTGCAACCGTCTCAGTTGATGAAGATTCACAACCTCACCAACGGATTTACCATCATTCCCTAATACTCTGCGTCTAACCTCACTATTATTTACCCGGTGATCCCAGGAGATGCGAGTAATATTTCTAAGACGTCTGTGGTCAAGTATTAGTATTTTGCGAGTGTCTTCTACTCCTAATGTCCACGTTTGGCAGCCATAAAGTAGAACAACGAACTGCAGCGCAGTATACTCGTCCCTTAATTGATAGACAGATATCTCGTCTTCACCATAGGTGATGTAAGTTGTCAAAAGCCAAAAGAGCTTTTCGAATCCGTGCTGAGATTTCTTGAGACACCAACACATTAGGGCCGATCAGACTTCCGAGATAAGTGAAGTTGTCAACGCGTTCGACTACTTCACTCCCTAATTTCGTTCATATTTTACAATTTTTTAGTTTACCCACTCCTCATAAGTTTCTAAGCCTTCATTGTGACTGACTTTATTGGTTACTCTCATCATGACCCAACATCAGTTTGAGATTTAGTGAGAAGCAGGTAACAATGGACAGTTGTTTTGTGCTCGTTCGGCACTTTTCAATATTGTACACCCTTAAATGTTACATGGTGTTAAACAAATATGTTTTCAGACTAAAATTGTCATGGTATTCGTTAAATTCTAACCATAAATCGGTGTTTATAGATAAGTTGTATTGTACAATTTTATTCATTTTCATAGAGAATGTTCAATGTATACTTCATAGTCGTAATTTTCGTTGTCACATGGAGTGAATCGTCGTATGTAAGTACAATTAAAATGGTTTCTCTTATGTCATGAAATTCATGTCAAATACGTAATTAACAAGATTCAGATAGCCTGTTACTTACTTGCTTACGCCTGTTACTTCCGATGGAGCATAGGCCGCCGACCAGCATTCTCCAACCCAATCTGTCCTGGGCCTTCTTTTCTAGTTCCATCCAATTCTTGTTCATTTTTCTCATGTCTATTTCCATTTCCCGGCGTAATGTGTTCTTTGGTCTTCCTCTTTTTCTTTGACCTTCAGGATTCCATGTGAGGGTTTGTCTTGTGATGCAGTTCGGTGCTTTCCTTAATGTGTGTCCTATCCACTTCCAGCACTTCTCCCTAATTTCTTCCTCCGCTGGGATCTGGTTTGTTCTCTCCCACAGTACGTTATTGCTAATAGTGTCCGGCCAACGGATCTGAAGTATTTTGCGTAGACAACTGTTAATAAACACCTGTATTTTCTGGATGATGGCTTTCGTAGTTCTCCAGGTTTCCGCCCCATACAGTAGAACTGTTTTGACATTTGTATTGAAAATCCTGACCTTGGTGTTGGTTGACAGTTGCTTTGAGTTCCAGATGTTCCTCTGTTGTAAATATGCTGCTCTTGCTTTGCCGATCCGCGCCTTCACATCTGCATCAGATCCACCCTGTTCATCAATGATGCTGCCCAAATACGTAGAGGTTTTTACATCTTCCAAATCGTCTCCGTCAATTGTGATTGGATTGGTGCATGCTGTGTTGTATCGGAGAATCCTGCTTTTCCCTTTGTGTATATTGAGACCTACTGGTGCTGAGGCTGCTGCTACACTGTTCGTCTTCTCCTGCATCTGTTGTTGCGTTTGGGATAGAAGGGTCAGATCATCTGAGAAGTCTAGATCGTCCAGCTGCATCCTAGATGTCCATTGTATCCTGTGCTTCCTTTCAGATGTTGAAGTTTTCATGATCCAGTCGATCACCAGGAGAAAGAGAAAGGGTGAGAGTAAACAACCTTGCCTAACACCGGTCTTCACTTCGAACGACTTCGTCAACTGTCCTCCATGCACGATTTTGCAGTGTAATCCATCATATGAGTTCTGTATGATATTGACTATCTTCTGAGGCACGCCGTAGTGTCGAAGAAGTTTCCATAGTGTCGTTCTGTCCACGCTATCAAATGCCTTTTCGTAGTCAATGAAGTTGATGTAGAGTGATATATTCCATTCAATTGATTGTTCCACAATGATCCGTAGAGTTGCGATTTGGTCTGTACACGATCTATCCTTACGGAATCCTGCCTGTTGGTCACGAAGTTGGGCGTCTACGCAGTCCTTCATCCTGTTTAACAATACCCTGTTGAAGACTTTTCCCGGTATTGAGAGAAGAGTGATGCCCCTGTAGTTATCACACTTGCTGAGATCGCCTTTCTTCGGTATTTTGATCAGAAGTCCTTCTTTCCAGTCTTTTGGTACTTGTTCCTCATCCCAAATCTTATTGAAGAGAATGTGGAGTATCCTTGCAGTTGCCGCTACGTCTGCTTTTAGTGCCTCTGCTGGGATGTTGTCCGGTCCTGCTGCTTTGCCACTCTTGATTTGTTTGATGGCCATGCTGATTTCTTCAATTGTTGGTGGGCCAATATCGATTGGGAGGTCTGTGGGTGCTGCTTCGATGTTGGGTGGGTTCAGTGGAGCTGGTCGATTCAAGAGTTCTTTGAAGTGTTCTACCCACCTGTTTTGTTGCTCTTCAATGTTGGTGATTACCTCGCCTTCCTTGCTTTTCACTGGTCGTTCTGGTTTGCGGCGATTTCCAGAGAGTTTCTTTGTCGTGTCATACAATTGTCTCATGTTTCCTTCTCTTGCAGCCTTTTCCGTCGTCGTTGCTAAATCTCCCACATATTTACGTTTGTCGGTTCTGATGCTCCTCCTCACTTGTTTGTTTACTTCTGTGTATTCAGCTTCTGCCTTGGCTTTTTCTGCTCTTGTTCGACTGGTATTGATTGCTGCTTTCTTGTTCCTCCTTTCTTGAATCTTATTCAGTGTATCAACAGTGGTGTTTCTTGTGACCCAGGACCTCATGACATGTTGAACAGATATCACAATTGATTGATCACTGGGTGGTGATCAATGTCATGCTTGTCTAGTCCTTATTAGTGCAGATCGAATGCTATCGATCATGTTGCAATGTGGCCACCAGTCTAGGCGACTCGACACTGCGGGCACTATGTATTGAGATTTAGATGGTGGTTGGAGGTAGTCAACAGGAAACCCTGGACCCGGGTTTCGTGCTACTTGGCACTCGTCAGCAAGGTGTACCTGTAATCTTGAGGGAACTGATGCTCCCTGGCGGATTCGATCTCGTGTCACCCAGCTTCACAGTCAGAGACGTTACCACTGAGCTATCCGAGCCGTGACTAACCTCCTGTAGGACTGAGATGTAATCACAATTGATTGATCACTGGTGTCGAGTCACCTAGACTGGTGGCCACATTGCAACATGATCGATAGCATTCGATCTGCACTAATAAGGACTAGACAAGCATGAGATTGATCACCACCCAGTGATCAATCAATTGTGATTACATCTCAGTCCTACAGGAGGTTAGTCACGGCTCGGATAGCTTAGTGGTAACGTCTCTGACTGTGAAGCTGGGTGACACGAGATCGAATCCGCCAGGGAGCATCAGTTCCCTCAAGATTACAGGTACACCTTGCTGACGAGTGCCAAGTAGCACGAAACCCGGGTCCAGGGTTTCCTGTTGACTACCTCCAACCACCATCTAAATGTTGAACAGATAGCCTGTACCACCAAATAAATTGTAATTACTGGTAGCCAAAGGTCTAGCCCGTAAAATAACTGAGTCATAAAAGTCATATCAAACTTTTAGCGAGTTATGAATAAAACGATACAGCTTAAACGACTCGGAAACCGAAGCATGTAAGCTCTCATTAATTGTACTTTTTTCATTATTAAGACAACAGATGGAATGCAAAATAAAACTTTATTTCTTAGGTTCCCTATATCACATAAGTTTCAGAGCAGTAATGTTCCCAGTCGATCATTTTAATGATAACACGGTTCTAACAACATTTCGGCCTTGTGTTGATCATTAGTTTTTGGTTTAATTAACCACACAAAGAAGATGTCTCAAATTTATTTGATCAGCTATGACCAATAAATAGTATTGCAGATAATTTCATTCATCTAGCAGAGATTCAAAATATACTCCAATAGAAAGTACACATGACTACACAGTTTATCATCATCTCAATTCCATTCATTCAAATGACTACATTATTTAATAGGAAGGTTTGACCACAAAAATACTTTCTAACACATACAGGAACAATCTTATGTAAACAACAGGTTCCGAGATAAGGAGTAAACAGTTTCTCAAATTAAATCCAACCGTATCTGGGATATCTCACAATTTCAAACTCAGATTCGGTTAGCTTCCAAATTTTTAGACGATTTTTCCGCAACCGTGACGATGTTCAAGATAAGATACAAACTAAGGGGTTCTATATTCATCCTAAAGCAATGCTATTATTTTCCACATAATTAGTATTATGGAATGATTGGCTTCAGGGTTGAATTGGAGGAAGGCAGGAGGAATTTTCCTTTAAGGGTTTGGTAAGTCGGAATATATGGTTTATGTCACAGTATTATTAAGGCTATTCATTAAACCCAGGACCCTAGGATACTCCAGCAGGTGCGATTTATTTACCTTCTGAGTTGTTATACGTTTTCAAGTTCAATCAGTTGACTTCAATGTGGTCTTCGTCCCAAGTCACTGACGAGTCTCCTTATGGCCTTCAAGTTCATTTACTCTTCAGGTCATAGTATTCTGTTAAACTTCTAGGATTCACGTCAAAGCGAATGGCTAACGAGTACGCAATTATATTTAACTCAAGTTGTTTTTTAAAGCATTGAGTAATCCAAGAAGATAATGAAGCGCCAGCTAATCGATACGATTGGATTAGGACCACACCATAAATTCAATCGACTGAATTTGTGTACTGTCGAATTTCGGCTCACTAGCTGAATGGTAATGTGTTGACCTGAAAAAGGTATTGAGTTTGATATTGTGTAGGCTAACGGGTACGCTCAACTAAGAATTCTAATACTGGGTGACAGTTCTATTGTTAGGGTCACGAAGGTTGAGTTGAACCTATCGTGGAAGACTATTTACATGAAGCTTTCATCCAACTAAGCTTTTTAAATAAAATGACATATATATGATTATTCCTAATTAAAATACAATGTTTAGTAGTTTGTTATTCAATTCATGATGTTCTTTAACAACCATCCGAAGATTATTTGAAAAGAAGCATGGATTTATCACTAAAGTTTATTTCAGTGAAATGAATGTAATGATCTATTACATTTTTCACCACAAAAAAAGTAAACATTCATATTTACTGAAATACTCAAATAAAAGTTGAACTTTCACTTCTGTGCATAGAGACATATACGGACACTGCAAGAATAATAACTTTTGTTTGTCCGAAAAATTGTTGCAAAACAGTTGACGTACTGATGCCGAATATTGATCTTCTCCAATTTCACTGCAAAACAATAAAATTAATCATCCTAATTTTGTAATCAGAAACCGAGACACATTGTGTAATTATAATGATGTTTATAATTACTATTAGTAGCAGTCATCATAAGGCGTTATTGATGCTTATTGATACCCTGAATTATATTTCGCAGTCAAGGATAATAGAATGTAGAGCTCACCTTCCGTAGCGCCTGCAACTAGCATCCGAAATATAATAAGAGAGCATGCTATCAAACACAATGAGGATGGGATGAGAAATATTGTGAAAATCATCTTCCAATATTTACGTGTCTTACCTAACCCTTAAATAAGTCTGTCATATCTCATAGATCTCAGTGAGACTTAACAACTCCTGGTTCGCATATCTCTTTTAATAGGGATAAAAAATTTACTCATCTACATCCCAGGCGACAGTCGACCCAGACGACTGCGTGTTGCCTAAGAGATAGCGGGGTTGAACCAATATAGGCGGACGATAGAGAATGAGTTAATACATTACACTGCAGTATAATTGTATTAACTAAGACCACATTAGATAATGCAATAAGGACATTGTGTTGAGAGTTCATTCTGGAGCGGTTGCAATAGAAAAAGCATCCATGCTAATATGAAGTACATGAGTCTTTGACCTGTATATTTCACATGTACATGTAAAGTATACTTGCTCACTGTCTAAGACTAATTCTTCGTTGCTGAGGGTCGGAAACTCTTTGAAGCCGGAACATGGCTGTTAAAAACTTATGTATTCATTTTAGGGCCTTAGTCTGGAATGATCCATTAGGTCTGGCGTAATGCCAGAGCGATGACTATAATTTGGGGAACGGGGGTCGACATGACATCCCAGTGGGGTAGGATCGCGATGTTACTGCAAACTATAGACGATTTCTATCGACGATTCTGTCATGTCAGGATAACCCAAGTGTTTTAGCAGGTTATTAAACGCTGAGACACTGAATCCAACCCCATACTAGGGTATTGATTTAAGGACGTGATCATCGTTCATTTATCAATAATTGTTGTGCTCTGAAGTGACATTAGCGCCATGCGAATTTTGCTTTGTCGAGATGAGTTTTTAGCCTAATGAACCACTTGGTCTTCTAACATCGTTGGCAGGGGCCATGCTATACCAGTCTACTTAGAGTGTTGTTTGTTTGCTAATTAAAATATTTTAAGCTGAAAAGATTGCATTGTTATCATAACATTGGGTAAACGCGATTCTTGTGATCAATAAAACTGGATAGACAGAAACAACAACGTTATAATATTTGCTATAATCGATTATTGTATTTTTGGTGACTACATTAAAACAAGCACGTATAAAATAAGAACGAATAATTTGTTTTTTTACTAAAGCACACTAACTACTGTCAATATCATTAATAATAATAATAATAATAATAATAATAATAATAATAATAATATAATAATAATAATAATAATAATAAAACTATTGTTCATGCATTTGATGTTTATATAAAGTACAGTAGAAAGTTGAAATTCATCTATAGTTTTATGACCTGACCTAGTGTGTTTAAACATTTTTATCATGTGTTATTGAATGAATTTTGTTAATATAAACTTGTTTCAAACATGCATAATTATTATAAGAATTTATTATGATAATTATTAGAATTTCGCTCTAGACTAACTACTGTCAATAAACTGAGAGTTGGCTATTTTTACTGATTTACAATTCTATTGGATACAAATTCTAACTACATAATGAAATGGAGAAAGTATGAATTCGTAGAGTGAGCCAACAACAGCCTAACAACTGGGTAAAAAATTAATAATTATTAAAATTACTAAAATCTCCACAAACCCCCGTTCTGATTATAATCATCATGTGCTCACTAGTGACTAGCTTCAAGATGGATTTCCTTGAATTCTAGTGACAAGCCATGACTAGTGGAGTAATAGAGAGTTATCTACCTCAGACAATGGATGTAGAGTTGCACAAGATCATGGATCGATTGAAGTTAGACATTAGCACCGCTGAATGCCGCTTCAGTGGTCTAGAGAGTAAGCGTTCGCGTGTGAGACCAAAGGTCCTGGGTTCGAGTCCCGCATATGGGACGCAGATGTGCATTGCTAGAGCGTCCCATACTAAAACGAAACGACCATTCAGTGTTTTCAGGTCTTTAATGGTAGTTTAGCCTAGATCAACTCATGGATTCAACTATTATAAAAAACTAATGGTCATGATTTAGCATGAATATTCTGGGCTATCATTGAAAAGCCATTTATCATCAGAATCTACTTAATTTATTGACAGATCATGGAATCTATTATAAATTTATCTTTGAAACATGATCTGAATCGAAATTTAATCTCAAGCATTGTAAATATCCAGTTATTTTTACTTGAAATGAATAATATTGAAAATGAAACGATTCCTTTAGTTTTGGCAACAAGTTGAGAAATAATAGTTGTGATGAAGGATATAGTATAGTAGTTCAATACCTTTACAAAACAATCTGATTATATACTGATATGTCATGATATTAAACGTAAATATGAAAAGAAAACAAATCATCAAGATAATGTAAGTGGAAGGTTTTCATAGCAATTCTAGTAAAATAGACCGATATTTTACTCTGCTTAAAGCTTAAAACTCATTAAGGTCTATGGGTATTTTCATAAATCTTTATAAGTGTTTAGAATTGCAGTTAATTAACTCTTTTGTTCTTGTACTTCTCAACAATTGAAATCGTATATCTATTCCCTGTATCTATTAAGGTATTCGAACCGATATACCTTCAAATCCACTTGCAAGCATTTTTCCTTATTCCTAATCAATTACTTAGAATTTGATCACTATACGTTTTTACCGTGAATCACACATAAGTGATTAAAAAATGATATGTTATTGATATCACTAACCGATCTAAGTTAGATAACCATTGGAAATCTGGAAACACTGAATAGCTGTTTCATCCTGCTAGGGGTGTGTATGTATGTGGATAGGGTTGTAGATGCACAGTGCTGATAAATTCAATGATCTTTGCAACTACATACTGATGACAGTAAAATATGATATGACTGTCCATTAATAAACATTAATAACTGTATTCTATCACATATAGTGAACTAAATAAAAAACGGATCATATTATACATCCTAAGTTTATTTAAATGAGAAGGAATAGACACATTTTTATTCTTTTAATAGAATAATCATGAAGCGATAATACCAGACATTATCGATAATAAGAGTATTACGAAACAATACACTACACTTACTCATATTCTGTTATTTTGAACAATCAAAGGTTTTTCTGTTTGTCTACAATAAATACTTAAATTTGTATACTTTCGTGTATTACTTGATTGGTTTATTTTCTTTGATAAAAAATAATGAATTTTACCTAAATTTTTTAAACTAGACTCATATCCTGAAATTTTGAATGTATTATTTATTTTCAATTGTTTACGATCAGATCGTGTTGAAGGTAGTTCAGTTCGACTAGTAGCTAATGGGAACAAGAAAAAAATATTAGATTGAATACACTAAAAACAATAAGTAATAAAGATTATTATTTCTATGTAATTTTGTAGTGAATGAGAACACAGGTGAGGAACAATTGAATGAATCGTGTACACCAAATTACAACACATCTTAATAAAATCTGAGATCCATACAGTAAATATTTAATTTCCAAAATATCGATCAATCGCCTCAAACTTAACCGTTCCTTTTAAAAAATATCAGTCAATTGTCTCAAACTTCATTGTTCCTGCATTTTCATACCAATTACTTTGTGTTCTCGACCATCTGCTGACAGACATTCTAATTCTGACTATCGTAATATACTATTTATGTCGATATAAGTAGCACACAACACACTTTCAAGTGTTCATTTGTATAATTGAATTCTATACTTTTATATATATTTTCTTTACTTTTAAATATGATGGGGACCTGTAACTGAAGATTCAGGTAATCTTTTTTTAATTTCTAAGTCTCAGATGTATTTTTACATGACATAAAACATAATAAATCATATCGTCTATCTTTTTGTATTCTTATATGTTGCTACCTGTTGGTTTTCTCTTACTAACTTGACTTAATTCGCTATTTTATATAGGTCAATGGTGATTGAAACTCCCCCTGGAGCCCCTCTGGGGCTACTGTCGGTCCCAAGCCCGGATAAGGGAGGAGGGTTGGGCATGGAGTTAGCTACTCTATCTCGTAGAAAACTAACTCGCTAAAAAAACGCTAACCATAAAAAATGTTAATTAAAATATCTAACTGATCAGTAGATAATTTTTAGTTTAATAACGATTTTCGTATATCTAATCAACAATTGACTTAATAAATTTTAATATTCATTAATCCACTTAACTATAGATAAGTGATTTGATAAAGGATGGTAATTGATTACCAAATAGTATTTCATATGACAGATTAAGTAATAATCTCTATATCCATTTTAAACATATTCGTTACTAAATCAGTTCATAGAAGCAGGAAAATGCTGTACACTCGCTTATGTAGACTGTATTCAATACAAGTAAATATAAGATAAATATGTACAAAGCATTTATCAACTAATAAAAACACAATAGATGAATATTTCTTTATAAAACCTTATAAGATTTAAGTAAGAATATATTTATTGTTAAATTTCTACCCAATGATCATTTAATTTGAAACTCTCAAATTGAATTTTGGCATTCATATAATATCTAAGATTTTTTACTAACCTCTTGTTGGTACATCTTTTGACAACTGTTCATCGAATAAGGAATTTCTTGATGACAGTCTAGTATGTTGTCTTGATTGATTCCGTCCAAATAATTCATCATGTGATTGATTTGTAGAGAACAAATATCCTGACTTGCGATCATTTAGAAGCTTTGATTTAGTCAACTTTAGGGGTAGATGTTTTATATCTTTCTTATGTATTTCCTTAGATGTCCAACCATGGGTAAGATAATGCTCTATATGATCTAAAATTTTAGATATCTGAATAGTAGCTGGATGATCAACACCTATCGGTAGGATTAGAATAGAATAAAATAATGTCAGAAATAAAAACATATTAGAAAATCCAAAATAAAACGTGAAGTACTTACTTACTTACGCCTGTTACTCCTCGTGAAGGAGCATAGGCCGCTCACCAGCATTCTCCATCCAACCCTGTCCTGGGCAATCCTTTCTAGCTCCGTCCAGTTGTAATTCATCGTTTTCATATCTGCTTCTATTATCCGACGCAATGTGTTCTTTGGCCTTCCTCTTTTTCGCTTCCCTTCAGGGTTCCAAGTTAGGGCTTGCCTCGTGATGCAGTTTGACGATTTGCGTAATGTATGTCCTATCCATTTCCATCGTCTTTTCCTAATTTCTTCTTCAGCTGGAAGTTGGTTTATTCTCTCCCACAGAAGGCTATTGCTGATGGTATCCGGCCAATGGATGTTGAGTATCTTGAGAAGACAGCTATTTATAAATACTTGTACTTTCCTGATTGTGGTTGTTGTAGTTCTCCAAGTTTCAGCTCCATACAGTAGAACTGCCTTGACGTTCGTATTGAAGATTCTCACTTTGATATTGGTTGAAAGTTGTTTTGAGTTCCATATGTTCTTCAATTGTAGGAAAGCGGCCCTTGCTTTGCCGATCCTCGCCTTTACGTCTGCATCGGATCCTCCTTGTTCATCGATGATGCTTCCCAGGTATGTAAAGGACTCTACATCTTCCAGAGTTTCGCCATCAAGTGTGATTGGATTGCTGTTCTCCGCTTTGAATTTGAGGACCTTAGTTTTCCCTTTGTGTATGCTGAGGCCTACTGATGCAGAGACTGCTGCTACACTGGCTGTCTTCATCTGCATCTGTTCGTGTGTACGTGATAGGAGGGCTAGGTCATCTGCGAAGTCCAAATCGTCTAATTGGTTCTGAGCTGTCCATTGTATTCCGTGTTTTCCTTCAGATGTTGAGGTCTTCATAATCCAGTCGACCACCAGAAGAAAGAGGAAGGGAGAGAGTAAACAGCCTTGTCTGACTCCGGTCCTTACTTGGAATGCATCTGTCAGCTGTCCTCCATGCACTACTTTGCACTGTAGTCCGTCGTATGAGTTCCGGATAATATTGACAATCTTCTCAGAACTCCGTAGTGTCGAAGAAGTTTCCATAATGTCGTGAAGTAGGCTGATGTGAATTTGCCAGATTTTGTAAAAATGAGTAAATTGTTTATCAGTTGCTTACATTCTCAAGCAACTTCAATATTAAATTTGACAAACAAATGCATATAACTCAAACAAACTAACAAAATATAGGCACCCAAATCATTGGGTGTCAGCTCAGTGGTCTAAAGGTTAAGCGGTTACCGAGAAGCCTCTCTAGGGTTTGATCTCAGTTGGAGTAATGGAAATAATTAGCTGAGAAGGTCAATCCTATGACCTAATTGCTACTGAGTTCTTCCTGCTTTTCAATGGTTTTGTAAATAAGATCAGTCTGTAAAATTCAATACCCCCTATAGCAAGAAAAAGTAATTTTAAAACTTTATTATTTGTACTAAATAATCATAACCGAAAGAAATAAGTACTTACTAATAGAGTAGTTTTTTATAAAAGGATTTCATAAATATAGAATGTATCTGTTTAGGGAACAGAAAGAATAATTATCTTTGAACGAAAAAAGGTTTACATGTTTTACGTAGGCACTTTGGGAAGTTAAAGAGTATACATAGACTAAAATACCCATTTAAGAAAATGTAGGGATGAAACGTTGTGAGAAAAAGTAAATGTAACACTGAAAAAGGTATAAATAGACAGTAAGCTAGTCATTTTATATCAAATGAACTCAGATGCAATAGTCAAAGATCACGTTCTCCTATTCTGTTTAAGTTAGTCTATCAGTACACACATGTAAAATAAACTATAGGGATCTTTAACTTATACAAGTATCGTATCTGTATTTCTTTTGTTCGTAGGTTACTGGTATTCGACCATAGGTGTCTATGAAGCATTGCTTGTGTATTTCGGGACCAAGGAATAAGCAATCTATGGGTTAGGAATAGAGTGCTAGGTAAAGATTGAAAATCGATCAGAGAGGTCGTAAATCTCCGTCAACTCAGGTGGTTGGGACATGTGTTACGTATGACCAACAGCGTTGTTTTCTGGTGCAGGAGTGGGCTGAGAGAAAGCTGCGGATGGCCAGACCAATTAGTCCGCAAAGTCACTGACAATTAGACTTAGCAATATCAATAGGTACAGACTACCTGGTTAAGGTCCTCATGATTGTCGAAGCTAATTGTGAGAGACTTTGAACGACATGGCTAGAAATCGTTTACAATGGAGCAAGTGTGTCCATTCTTTGTCTTCACTTAAATTCCGAGATTCTAAATTCCTCATAACGTTTATGTTTTGATTTCACTAATTTATATTTTCTTTTAGAGTTGTATCTTCGATGACTAATCTTTCCTATTACTACTGATATTGTTACTACCTCTACTATTATGCGACTTGGTTTGGCAGCTTCATCTCTCTGCACTAGTTAGGTACAGCAACTTGTGCACACGTACTAGGTTCTACCTTGTGACTGACTGGCTGCATTTATTTTTGTTTACAATGAATATGTGACTGAAACATTAAGCCGCTTTCAAAACTATAACCTTTAGTTATATAATACAATTATATTGACTTTAAACTTCTCAAATTATACCAAAAGGAAACGAATTTAAATTGATTGAGTTTTCTATGACCTTTTCTATCAGCATAATCTGCAGAGAATTCATCGAAATGAAATAAGCTACATTTTGGTTTGTTTGCCGTAATTTTACGGTGTGATTACAGTCAAGCCGTTGTAAACATTTACCTCACGTTTTGACAGCAAGTGATTCAAATAAGTAACAATTCCTCTGCACACAATATTTAAGAAAAGCCAAAATACATATCACTATTTAGATGTCATGTGATAAAAAACAAAAAAAATTCTTACTACAGCCGATACAATAGAGTATATTATTTTACGGTAGTACGTCTACTAGTGTGATAATACTGAATCTCACCTGAATGAGCATCTAGATGCGATTTCAATTAATCACCTATTAGGCTACTGAATTGATGAGTTACTACTAGTATAGGGGACCTGTAGTGACGGTAGAATTTTCATGGTTTAAATCACAAAGTATGAAAATCAGTAAAACAATTAACGTATGACATGAGATTACAGTTAAAATCCAAAACATTTGTACTAGGTAACATTGTATGTTACAAAATATCATTTCTAACTTACCTAAAAATAAACTCCTTTCATGCAGAACATATGCAGCACGTGTAATAGCTTCTTGCAAACTTATCTGACGTTTATCTTTTAACAAACAGACAACCAATTGTAAACATATTTCTGCTGGAAGTGTTTGATATACATACGGATTACTGAATAAATGTTGATTATTTAAATTTAATGTGATGTCTGTACGATTACTTGATAGATTTGATACTTTTCTATCAGTAGAATTATTAAGATTATAGCTTGTGCTTCTGGAAGTTTTGGATAAAAATGGTGATGATAATGAAGGCTGAATCTGCGGTATTATCAAATATCGAGGTGAACGTAATAGAATACTTCTATGTAATTTTGTATAAATGTGTTGGTTGAAAGTCGAAAGTACAGATGTTGGTGGAGGAATAACTTGTCTTATCAAAATTTCTTGGTTATATGTCATTATATCTAAACTCCATCGCAGACATTCTTGTGCACGAGTTCTTCCAAACTTCATTCGAAGAAAACTTGATGTTTTTTCCAAAATAAATGAGAAATGTAATTATCGAAACCATCAAAAATGTAGTGGTAAAGTATGTAGCAAAAGGGCAGTTAAGGAAGGCCCTACATTGGATGGTTTAAGCATGAGTGAAA